AATCATAGGTGGTCCTGAGCCCGCTCGCAAGGGTTTGGTAAGGAAGCCCATCTCCCTCATTGCAGGGAGGGAGGGTCTCCTTTTCTAGGGTCCTATGAGAATCCTGAGGCTCTAGTCCAGGGTGGGTACCAGCTACACCTGTGGCCTCCTGCCACATGGTGGCGCTGCTGCTGCTTGCTCTCTGCCGACAGGCAGATGCCATTTCTCTGGGTGGCCAGAAACGCTTCTCCATGGACCCTGGCTTTGTCAAATGATCCTCTCTTCAGCCTTGAGGCCTCCTTGCTTCAAGTCCCCTGATAAGCCAGGCAACCGTCTCCTTACTGGGTCTCTGTGTGCAGGTGAGGGAGGGGCTCTGGAGCTGGATGGGGAAACTGCTCCCAGGCTGGGGAACCGGGCCTTCCTCCCATTTGGGCCACTTCCACCTTTTACCTCCAAGCCACAACTTTCATCCCTCCCTTCGTGGCAATGCAGCGAAGGCCCCTCTTCCTCGCCTGAAACTCCAAAGCTCCCAGGACAAAGGAATATGGAGAGGGGACAAAGACTTCTTAAGTTTCCTAAAAGCAAGGACTTGCCTTTCCCCCGGGCTGGAGGCTGAGGACGAAGCTACTTTACTCTTTCCCAATGCGTCCACAGCAGCAAAACAAAAACATGACCATGTTCGTTTTAATTTTCCTTACTCATTGTTAACAACTGTCCCACTAGTATTTATTGAGCCCTTTCCAAAGGCCATGGGAGACCAAAGAGAGAGTGGCGCTGGCTTTGGTGAGAGGGGTTTCCCTGGGGACAGGCGCTGGATGGTGGCGGGTTGACAAATAAATGAAAATAAGGAAATGGACACCGAGGGGAAGCTAGTGTTTCAGAAATATTTGATTTTTTTCCATAAACCGTTCAGAAGGATCTGGCGTTGAGGCCCGCCACCCTCAAATGGGAAGGCAGATTCTTGTCAGTGTGGCGTGGCAGGTGGATTGAGTGACCACGGTGCGCACGTGTGTCAGTTTCCTGAGTCTTCCCCCGCCCTGGATGCTGTAGGCGGCTGGAGGGGTGGATGGTTTGAGGGAGGCTGGAAAAGTCTCCATCCCTTGGGTCTCTTCAAGGCCACCTGTGCCCAGATCAGATGGGCCAACTTCCCAATGATGAATCCACTCAGACTTGTAGCAGAATGCACGTAATCGAGTGGACAAAAGGAGAACCCTAAGTTCTCCTCGAAGACTGAGCCACAAGCTTCATACCTCCCACAAATCCAGCTCCCCAAACCTAAATGGTGCCACCCCTTCTTCCCTTTGTCTGTCCTTCTGTCTGCTGTCTGTCCCACTGCCCGCCCAGTTGTGCTGTACTCGGTGCAGATCTTCACAGGAAATGTTCCTGGGGCAGGGACGGACGCCAGGGTCTACATCACCATCTACGGGGACCTCGGGGACACCGGAGAGCGGTACCTCGGCAAGTCAGAGAACCGCACCAACAAGTTCGAGAAAGGAACGGTAGGCGGGGCCCACTGAGTTACCCCGCCCCCTCCTCTGGGTCCTGTCATCCCAGGACCAGCCTTTCTGGTCCCCCAGGCTGTCTGGGAACTTTGTGGGATTTCATGCACCCTCATGCGGGCATTTGCCTCATGCATCCCCTGCAGAGGGCTGGTCCCCCCTCTCAGCCTGTGCACGAGCGCTGGGTCCTGCATGTGAGGTGGGGCTGGGGCCTGAGCAAGCAGGAGGCTGTCTGAGCCCCGGATTGCTGGCTGTACGGATCTGGGTTGTGTTTGGAGAGTCCAGCACACTGCGGGCCGGTCAGGAGCACGGAGCACGGAGGGGCTGCAGCAACAGAGGCTTGAGCCGGGGGTTGGGAGGCCAGATTCTGCCGTCCATTTCTTATATGACTGAGGCTCTCTGGCCTCAGTTTCCTTAGCTGTGAAATAAAGAGCCTGATATGAATCAGCTAAACTAAGTTGTGCAGAGCCCCAGGCAGCACGGGGTCCACAGGAGCCACAGAGGGGTGGGGGCGCCAGACAGGCACCCCACTCCTCCCACATGGACCCACTTTGGCCTGGACTGTCTATTGGGGTGTCAAGCAAGCCTTCTGTGAAGCAAGGGAGCTCTGTGGCTACAAAAAGGCTTGAAAACCACACAGCTGGCTGGTGTCCAAGGCCCTGCCAGCTTCGACCTAACTAGTTTTACAAAAAGGAAGGTATCCATCCAAATTTTCCTTCCCGCCAGCTTGGCCTCCCTCTCCCTGCCAGAGCTTCTCCCCTGGGCCCCTCTGCCGTCCCCGCTTCACCGCTCCTCAGCCTCCCTTCCTCCTCTCCAGTCACCTAAATCTGCCAGAGGCCCCCCACAGGCAGCGCTGTGTCCATGGGGATCAGAGCAAGGTGATTGGCTCCTAACCCAGCCTGTGGGCTTGCCCGTGGCTGTGCGCACGCGGGGATTCTGCACCAACCAGCAGGTGTTTATCAGGGGTCTCCTTAAGCCTGAGCCTCTGCCGGGCATGACCCCTTAGTGTCGAAACATCTACCATTTGATGAGGAATAAAATAGCTCTGAGATAAAGAAAGCAGATGTCGTCTACACGGGTCTGCAGCGGGCGGGTGACCCTATGAGCCAGGCCGCCTGGAAGGAGCCCCAGCCTGGCCACGAGGTCCCACGAGAGTCAGGCCCCAGGGCAGCCTTTGCTCCATCATCCAGTTTACCTTCAGCTTTGGTTTACAGCTTCTGCAGTGGGGCTAGTAATGTGATTGCTTCTGAGACCCCCAGACTGAAAAACTGGACAAGAGATATAAGAGCACTTTGTATCAGGGAGAAATAATTAACGACACACACACACACACACACACACACACACACACACACACACAAGATATAATTATTTGCCACACTTGTAAGGTAGCTAATAGGAGGTCTGTTCATTTTGGAGAAATAGAATTCCAAAGAGGTCAAGAGACTCATGTGGTGTCCCTGATCCTAAAGTAGGGACATGATTATCAGGCTCACTCACACACGCCCCTGTGGGACGGGGCAGTGCCACGCGCTGGTCAGATGCCCAGACCTGGGCTGGGGCCAGACCGTCTGAGTTCAGCTCCTGGCTCTGACACTGACTAGCTGTGTGATCTTGGACAAGTTACTCAGCATCTCTGTGCCTTGGTTTCCTCCACCATAAAGTAAGTTCACTGAATTTAAACCTATGAAGTGCCTAGAACCATGCCTGGCATGTAGTTAGCTCCTTGTTAATGCCGGCTGTCGCTGAGGCTGAAAGAGCCCGCCTTTCCTCTGCCTTTGTCATAGTGCGTGGAAAATGCACTATCAGACGGCCGTGTGCGCCACACAGCTGATAGGCGGACATTTGTTCATGGCTAAATCCACAGAGCCTGGCACAGAGTAGGCACAATAAATATTTGTTGAGTGAGTAAATGAATAAAAGTATAAACGAAGCTGATGCAATCCATGCTCCTCTGTGCTCAGATTCAGATTTTTTTTCTCTCTTAGCAATTGTGACATCAGGAAAGTCTTTGCCCCACTGTGCCCCGTCGCTTTCTTCTCCTTGCCTCCAGTTTTCCGTCCCCTCCTGCGAGCTGGATCTACTTCCTGCTCAGTGGCTGATGATGTAGGACTTTAAGTTCACTGCTAAGCATCTAAAAGCTTTCACTTCTCTAACCATCTGCTCCAGAATCCAGGAGTTGCCCTCAACACCCCTCTCCCTGTCAGCATCACCCCGCCACGCCCCTATCCAAGCAATCAGCAGGTATGGGAGAGTCTCTCTTCTGCATAACCCTCGAATCATCTCCATCAGCTCTGCCACCACTCAGCCCTTTCTTATCTCACCTTGTTTATTGAACCAGCCTGGTCTCCCTTCTCTAGTCCCTTGAAATCCAATCCACCCTCCAGGCTTCCCCAGTTAATTTCTCCAAAGGTGGTGGACTCACTCTGTCTCCCCAACACATCAGGGCTCCCCACCGATCCCACACAGTCCTGAGCCCTTCATGGGATTCACGATCCTTCACTGCCTGCCTGGCCAGCCTGCGCAGGTCTATCCCCTGCAGACCCCTGGGCCCCAGTTTCCAATGCCCTCCACTCTCTTCTGTCTCCAAGTCTTTCTGAGCCTCTTCTCTGCATCCATGCACATATGTCCAGAAGAAATACACAATGCTGCTCTGTGGTTTTAACTTTTCACATAAAAGGCATCACCTTATATGATTACTTCCTCAGCTTGCAGGCAATGGGATACTTTCAAAATCCTCTGTCAGGAGAGTCAAGTACAGCTTGCTGGCTTATTCTTTGTAGTATTCCGTACGCAGCATTGCCACAGTTATTTGCCATTCCCCAAGCACTGGGCACCTAGGTGAGTCCCAATTTTCCACTGTAAAATTATCCTCAGCACACATCCTTGTGCACATATGAAGGTTACCCCCAGCTGCAAAGTGGAATTGCCATGTAATAGGGTGTGCTCTTTTTCGCTTTAATGGACTCAGCCACTCGCTGGTGCCCCAAGGCCTCGCAGGTCCACACCTGCCGTCAGCGTCACGCCATTCACCTGCGGTTTCCTCAGCCGGCAGCCTGACCTGCCCTGGCTGCCTGGAAGGCCCAGCCCCCAGCCTTCAGCTTAATGCTGCCACCTGGCATGTCTCACAGCCCTGCCTCTAGTCCCCAGGCAGGTGCTGCTCCCACCACCTGGGCTGTCCCAAGGAAGGGCAGAGAGCATCCTGTCATCCCTGGGTTCTTAGCACTCAGCATAGTGACTTAGCATATCTTTTGGAGGGAAAGTGAGTGTCACTCAGGGTCACCTGTCCCTCCTCCGCCTCCCCAGACTCCTGCCTGCTGCATTCAACCTGGGTTTTGACCCACTTCCCCCAAGGCCTAGAGCTCCATATCTCACTAAGCAATCCTAAAACAATGCAAGTATCCAAGGGTCACTTCACCTAAGATATAATCAGGGACACAGAGGAGGGCCTTATGTCACACCCCACACCAAAACCTTCATGAACCCACAGTCCAGGTGTTCCCTGCGCTGTCCCCAGCCTTGCCTCCATCACAGCCCCTCTCCTCTCTGCCTGCTCTCCTGCGGCCCAGCTCCTCCCACTGCCAGCTTCCCCCTGGGAATTCCCAGACCCCTCTCATTATTCAGAAAGACTTCACCTCTTCATGGCTCTTACTCTCCAGCCTCCCGCCTGAACTCATGTCAATACTCAGCATAACTTAGGATGTCCAGGTACCAGCACTGGGCAGAGCACCCTTGCTTGTTCACCCCCATTCACACCACTCAGCAGGGTCCATCTTCCAAACACTCACAGAGGTTGTCCCAAGAGGAGCTGGACTGCAAACTGGGGCCGTTGTGAGGCCTTGGAACACCAGACTCTCTCTGTTAGGGGGTTTGGGCCTGGGAGGCTCCCTGCTCCCCACTCCCAGTCAGGACGCTCTGTTCAACACAACAGTTGAGGGGGTGGAAGACCCTGGATGGATGGGGTTGGAGTGGGTGGGGGTGGGGAGCACCCCCTCCCGAGTCTCCACGTCCGGGCTCCCCAGGCCGACACCTTCATCATTGAGGCTGCCGACCTGGGCGTCATCTACAAGATCAAGCTCCGCCACGACAACACCAAGTGGTGCGCCGACTGGTACGTGGAGAAGGTGGAGATCTGGAACGACACCAACGAGGACGAGTTCCTGTTCCTGTGCGGGCGCTGGCTGTCCCTGAAGAAGGAGGACGGGCGACTCGAGAGGCTCTTCTATGAGAAGGTGCGTGAAAGGCAGCCGGGCGCTTGGTTCCGCCGTGGCCCGCTGTCATCTTCATACCTGGGCGGCTCCGTGGAACGCAGGGTGCCAGGGGTGACATGGGCCTGGGTGTGCCCTTCCCGACAGGAGTACAGCGGGGACCGGAGCAGCAACTGCAGCAGCCCCGCGGACTTCTGGGAGATCACGCTGAGCTCCAAGATGGCGGACATCGACGTCGCCACCGTGACGGGGCCCATGGCCGACTACGTTCAGGAGGGCCCGGGTAAGCCCAGCAGCGAGCTCAACAGAGGAGGCATGGGCGCAGGGAAATGTGTTTAAGCTGTTCTTGGACAGCCGTGTGTTCACCTCACCACCGCTTGACTTACATTTAATGCTCTGTAATTTACACGCTTTCCACACCTATTGCCTGTTTCCATCCCCGTGACAACCCTGTGGGGTGAGAGCTGTTGACCTGAAACAGACTGGCAGTTATTTCTCCAGCAAAAAAGGGTTTATTTGGGATCAGTAGAGAATTGCAATTCAAGGTTTGCACCCATGGAAACCTCATGCAAGCCCCTGCACAGCGAGGGAAGGAGAATTCTTTTACAGAGGGGAAAAGGAAGTCGGGAGGACTATGGTAAACAGAGAGTCCATGACTTTTCATTGCCTGAGTTGTTGCCATGTTTAAATTCAGTAAACTTGTTTTATGGTGGAGGAAACCAAGGCACAGAGATGCTGAGTAACTTGTCCAAGATCACACAGCTAGTCAGTGTCAGAGCCAGGAGCTGAACTCAGACGATCTGGCCTCAGCCCAGGTCTGGGCATCTGACCAGCGCATGGCACTGCCATGTCCCACAGCAGCATGTGTGAGTAAGCCTGATAATCACTTGAAAACCTATACTCTGAAAACTATAAACTTGATAATACAAAGAAATGGAAAGATATCCCATGTTCATGGATTAGAATAATTAATATATTTGTATATTTGTCTTTGGGACGTTTAAGTCCACTGCTTTTCTGTTTAGTTCTCTTAGATATAATTGCACATCAACCACAATAGTTTTCTCCAGGAGACAACATGGTGAGTCTGTGGGTTTGAGCAGAGAGTGCCAATCTTTTCATACTCTACCTGCTTAGACAGGACCCACAAGAAAGTGCTTCTCCTTAATTGAGCACCATGATCAGTTGTGGAAGGGCCCCTGGGACTCTCCTTGTAAAGATGAAATGAGGCCATTAGTAGAAAACAATGCGGGTAATTCCAGCCAAGAAGTTCTAGTCTGGAAACTTATCAAAGGGCTACAGATTATATAACCTAATACCCACTACACTAGGGCAGTAGCTCCCAAGCTGTTCAGGAAGATGAGCCAAGAGAAGGGTTTCCAATTCCAAGGGTTTCAGTAGTAACTGCAAGTAACAGAGACCTAAAGGTAGTGGCTTAAACAAATGAGGGATTTTTATTTTCTCACACATTAAAGTTCAAAGAGAAGCAGTTAGGACTGATACAGCAGCTCCAGTGAAGTCGGGGATCTAGGCTCTTTCAACCTGATCACTCTGGCAATCTTACAAATGGCTTCCATTCTAAAGGTTGCCCATGGTTCTAAGATGACTGCTGGAGCTCCAGACATCACATCCACATTCCAAGCAGAATGAATGGAAGGATAAAGGGCAAAATGGTGCTCCTCCCAGTTGAGTGAGACCCTTTCAAGGGAAATTTTCCCAACATCCGACATATCATGACCACCCCTAGCTCTATGATGTATTACCCAAGCAAGTTTTTAATGCTGATTTATCTGGTTTATTTTAGAAATGAATGCCTTCTAGAACTTCCATTCACCATGTTACATATATAATACTATTCTATTATTCTTCCCTAAGTTTCTACTTTCCATGAGACCTTGCTTTTGCCAACCCCATTTTTGCTGACCACGGTAAGCTTTCCAGGCATCTAACCGCTGTACTTGGGTAGAGGTTATTACCCTTACCCTACTTTACATGGGAGTGCTAGGTGCAACTGAGATAATTGGTCCACGGGGTTTTTATTTATGTTTTTTCACTTTTAAAAAAAATCTTTATGTATTTTTGGGGGGGTGGTAATTAGGTTTATTTATTTATTTGCTTTTGATGGAGCTGCTGGGGATTGAACCCAGGACCTCGTGCATGCTGAGCACACACACACTGTACCACTGAGCTGTACCCTCCCCCGCGGGCTTTTAGATGTGGCAGTGCTGCTCTCTTTAATCTTCACTTGGGAGTTACCAAGTTACCCTCCTTGGAGGGTAGATGCCAACCATAGCTTGCCAGTCTGAAAGCTCTCTTGCACTTTGTCTCGGAGGCAGGGAGCTGCGATCAGTGCCTCCAGAGGTCATTTCCAAGTCTACGCGCCCGCTCTGGTCCACGGGCCCTTCTTGAGGTGGGGTCCCCTTGACCTCTTGCAGTCATTCCCTACTATGTGTCCGTCACCACGGGGAAGCACAAGGACGCAGCTACCGACAGCCGGGCCTTCATCCTACTCTTCGGGGAGGAGGATGAGCGCAGCAACCGCATCTGGCTGGACTATCCCCGAGGGAAGAGGGGCTTCAGCTGCGGCTCCGTGGAGGAGTTCTACGTCGCGGGCTTGGATGTGGGCATCATCAAGAAAATAGAGGTGCTGGGCCCCAGGGTCTCGGGACAGTGACCATCCCGCGGGAAGGAAGGAGCTGACCAGGACGTGGGGGGAGGGCAGGGGGACCCGACCTGACCCCTGCTCAGCGCAGGCAGCAGAGGAAGAACTCCTGGCCTCTGCCTTTAACAAGCTGGATGACCCCCATCCAGTGGGGGCCCCTTGTGTATTAGTCTTCCATAGCTGTGTAACAAATGACTGCTTAGTGACATGAGACTACATAAGTATCTTATCTCACAGTGTCCTGAGTCGGGAGGCCAGGCGTGGGTTAGCCAAGTCCTCTTCTCGAGGTCTCACTGGGCTGAAATCAAGTTGCTGCCAGGGCTGGAGTCTCATCTGAGGCATGGGGTCCTGTCCCAAGCTCAGTGGTTGTTGGAGGAATCCATGTCCTGTGGCTGTAGGACCAAGGCCTCCAGGTCCAGAGGCTGCCTGCTTTCCCTGCCATGTGACCTTCCCCAACACATGGCAGTCTGGTTCTTCAAAGCCATTCAGAGAGGATCTCCTCCGTTTCGAATCTCATCTCTGAAATCTAGATCGTCTTTTAAAGGGTTCACCTAATTAGGCCAGGCTTACCTAGAATAATCTTTTGATTAACTCAAAGTCATCTGACTAGAGACCTTAATTATATCTGCAGGGAGGGAAGTATGGCTCAGTGGTAGAGCGCATGCTTAGCATGCGCGAGGTCCTGGGCTCAATCCCCAGTACCTCTACTTAAAAATAAATAAATGAACTTAAAAAAAGACATCAAAAATTATATCTGCAAAATCTCTTCACCTTCATGAGAACATGAGTGTGCAGAACATCAGAAGGAAACACTGAGGGAGGAGGCTGCAGAGTGAGGGAGGGACGCTGAGCAGGGAGGGCTTCTTTCCCAGCAGTGCCCATGTCCTCATGGCCCTGGTGTGCCCGCTCTAGCTGGGCCATGACGGGGCCTCCCCCGAGAGCTGCTGGCTGGTGGAGGAGCTGTGTCTGGCTGTGCCCACCCAGGGTACCAAGTACACGTTGCACTGCAACTGCTGGCTCGCCAAGGACCGCGGAGATGGTGTCACCTCCCGTGTCTTCGACCTCCTGGATGCCATGGTGGTGAACATCGGGGTGAAGGTATGGAGGGCGCCTGTGTGTGTGCGCTGCATGGCAAAGGGCAGTGCAGGTTGGGGTGGGCGAGCAGCAGGGGAGATGGAGGTGAGAGAGGCAGGAGACTCATCACTGGGGTGTTGGTGAGGGCTGCAGCCCCATATACCAGCCAGACTCACTTTGCTAGGAGCCAAGAGACTCACGTCTTTTCTTATCTGCTGCTGTGTGACCTTGGGCAAGTCATCTGGCCTCTCTGGGCCTTGGTCTTCCCATAGAGCACATGGAAATAATGCTTCCCATCCTGTTGCATATAAAATCTTGATGAGAACGAACGAGATCATGGGCAGTCTGTGAAAAGCTTTGCAGGCTCTACATAGACGTGCAGTCATTATTCTCCAAAGGATGCTCGGTCGACACCAGTCGGCCGGTGATGAGGACAGATGGCATTTGGGATGCTGAGAGCCTCTGGGTCTCCTAGTGCAGAGAATGCTGTCTGCACAAGATCCCCCTTAAGGGGAAGAGGCTGGAAGGCAGGAGCTCTGTGCCCCTGTTCTGGCTCCACCTCTAACTGGCCAAATGGCCTGGGACAAGTTGTATAAACTCACAGGTTGGTGCCAGACAGGAGGCAGGATGCCTGGATGCTGGGGCCCAAGGATACATGGCCAACTGGTGGCCCAGGGCCTCTGTGTCACCTCACCTTGCAGGCCTCTCTTTCTCTCTGAAAAGCTGTGGGGTCCACAGAAGGCCCCAGCCCTCATCTCTGTTCCTAAATCCAAACCAGTGGGCTGCTAGACTTAGGTCAGAAGCTGTCCCACAAAGGTGAGAAGAAATCACCCTGAACCTGAGGTGACCTGCCTGTATTGTATGTGGAAACAAAGGACGGGCTGATATATGGGCTCTGAAAATCTTGCCAGGAGGGAGCGTGGATGCCTGCCCCTCCCTGCTTGAGAGCCACAGAGCAGAACTTTCCACAGCATGGATGCCCTCCCCCCTTCCTCAGCCATCTCCACCTGTGGCCAGACGGTCAGTGTGGGTGGCCACCATTCATCCAGCGGCCCCTGTCCTGACCCGGTTCCCTGCGTGCACGTGGGCGTGTGTTCATGCCCCCTCCCAGTGCATATGCACACCCCACTTGGTGCATCGGCATTTCCCCCTGAGCTCTTTAGTCTGTGGAAATCCAGACCCACACCGTAGTTATTCATGTTACAAAAGAACACAGGTCTGTTACTTTACAAAGAACCATAGGGCTCTTTGGACTGGCCACCTCCCCAGGACGTCTGATATCACACCGGCACTACAAAAGCCCTGTTAATGTGTCTTTCTGGAAACACGCCTATGACACAAAAAGAGATGTCTGTGTAAAGGAGAGAAAGGTGGACACAGAGAACACAGGAGTCTGGAGAGACGAGCCTTGAGGGGCCAGTCTCCACGGGGTCCTGGGCACTCATTTTGATCATCCTGTTTCTTATGTCTGCTGGATAAAAAAGCATCATATTTCTGCTTTCATTTCCAATAGCTCCGTGCCCATCATGAATGCCGTGTTAGGCGGTCTAAGAGGATTTTCCTGGCAAAGCAAGGTGCTCTTCCATCACTCCCTCGGCAAGCGTGCCCTCCAGGAATGCTGCTTCTAGCCTGGCAGTGTCATGGGGAGGATTCTAAGTGCTGCTTGAAAAGCCTCAATGTTGGGGTCATGATCGCTGCCATGAATAACCTGGGTTCTGAGTTCAAAGGCATCTGGGTGGTGGGGACCCAGCATGAGTGATATCGCAGTGCAGCAGACACAGGGGATGGGAAGGGCTGGGGACGTGCGGAGGGGACGGTCAGCCAGGCACCTCCCTGGTCGTGTGTGCAAATATCTGAACGCTTGAGACCTAATTGCTAGTCCTTGCACACCTGGTGAGACGCCATGGAGTAAGAAACCAGGACCGGAAGACAGCCCAGACCAGGGGTGAAGAGGGTCCCTCTTGCCACTAGGCTGCCTCTGGAAGGGAGAACCAAGCAGGGGCCTCAGTGAGGCACCGTCCTGGGGGGAGCAGGCTGCTCCCTCCCCCTCTGGCCGAGACAAAGGGAATACATCCTCTTTGGAGCAAACCTCAGGCAAAAGAGTAAAATTCCAATCTACAGTGAAAACCACATTTAATAGGCGGTTGTCCCGTTTCACGAGTGGATGGAGGCAGAAGGCCTTCAAACATCAGCTCCAATGCACGCTCCAGTCCCCAACGTGCAGGGTGGGTGCCGGCTGCGGCATGAAGGAGGGACGGTCAGCCGGAACTATTGCTGCTCCTGGACGCCAGGCCCGGTGCCAGGCACCAAGCCAAGTGTCTGAAGCTCTCACAACTCTGCAGAGTGCTTGTCCCTGTTTTACTGTGGAGGAAACAGTGGCTGGAGAGGATGGGGGACCTGCCCTGTTTCAACAGCTAGCGAGGGGCAGATCTGGGATTGAATGGTGCTCTGGACGGCTCCCAAAGCCACTGCCTGGCTAACACATGCTGCTGGAGTACGTGGGCTTAGGTTGGGATTCGATGGACAAAGAAAGTGGTGAATCCTGGGACTTTCAGTCATATTTTTATTGCATGTGTGTCCTCGATCAGACACTGAACTCAGACTCATAGACATAGTAAACAAATTTATGGTCACTGGGGGGGTAGGGGGTGGAAAGGGATAAATTAGGAGTTTGAGAGTTGCAAATATTTTAACTATTATATATAAATAGATAAACAACAAGTTTCTTCTGTATAGCACAAGGAATTATATTCAATATCTTGTAGTAACCTACAATGAAAAAGAACATGAAAATGAATATATGTATGTCTATGTCTGACTGAAACACTATGCTGTTCACCAGAAATGGACACATTGTAATTGACTATACTTCAATTTTTTTTTAAGTGTAAAAGAATAAAGAGAGAGAGAGAGAAACTGAGCTCCTCTCTAGCACCGAACTGAGCACAGCCAAGGGCAAAGACAGTGATAAGACCTGGCACTTGCTCTCCGGACATTCAGTTGATTAGGGGGAGGGCTCTCTCCAGAGTCTTGCAGCTTGGAGGGTGAAGGTGAGGCAGGCAGGTGATGGAGGCCAAGGCTCAGGACCCACGTCCTTCTCGTGGCAGGTGCTCTACGAAATGACGGTGTGGACGGGTGACGTGGTCGGTGGTGGCACTGATTCCAACATCTTTATGACCCTCTACGGCATCAATGGCAGCACAGAGGAAGTGCAGCTGGACAAAAAGAAGGCCAGGTATCATGGGAGGGGGACAAGGGGGGCTCTGCCCTTTGCCCTCTCTACACACCCAATCCTCCACCCTCCAGCCCCATCCTGCTTCAACCAGGCTGCTCTCCCCATTCTCCACTCGTACCCTGAGGCCTCCCAGCCTCTATGCCATTGTCCACGTGACTCCTCTCTCCTGGAGTGCCCTTCATCCACTCTGTCTCAAGACATCTCTGTTTCAAGTGCTAGTTCAAATCTACCTCCTCCAGGAAGCCTTTCTTGATCACCTCAGCCCGTAGCACTCCCTCCTTCCTTCCCCCTTTCCTTCCTTCCTTCCGTCACTCAAAACTGTTTATTGTAAGGTCTGTATTGTATTGTATCAACACTGTGAATGTCCTGCTGTCATTCTTTGCACGGTGGTGTTGTAACCTGTTCACTTTAGGGGAAGCCGGGTTAAGAGAACACAGAAACCCTGTTCGATTTTTGCAACTTGTCTGCAAGTTCAAAATGATTGCAGAAAAAAGCTAAAATAATTTTTTTAATTTAAAAAAAAAAAAACGTTGAACACCTGGTATCTGTCAGGCACTGTCGCAGGCACTGGAGAGAGGGTACAACCAGGCAGGGAAGATGCCGGAACTCACAAAGCCTCACACCTGAGGGAACCGCAGCAGCAGCACGGAAACCAGGGTGGACTTATTTGGTGCCAGGCCTTTTTCTAAGCCCTCTGAATATACTGACGCCTCTAGTCCTCCCTGCAGTGTTATGAGGACCATGATTACCACCCCCATTTTATAGCGGTAAGAAAACTGAGGCACAGCAGGGCGAAGACATGCTGTTCGAGGCCCCATAGCTGGTAGGCTATGGCACTGGGAGCTGTACCCAGGTGGCCCCAGGCTTAAGCATTAGGTTCTACTGCTTCTTAAGCTGGTTATCAGTAATGGCGATGCAGCTGGACCTCTTGGAGTACTTCCTGTCTGCACCTTTCATTGAATCCCCAACATATCTGGGTTTTGGCTGGTTTCCTATGTTCAGCCATTGTCCCCCAAACCATCCTTGGACTCTGATAACTTAAGCACCAGAGGGGAGAGATTCAGAGCCCAAGCCTAGGATTTCTAACATCCCCCTACAGCCACTTGGCTCTGAGCTGCACTGCTGCCTCCCCAGGCTGGAGGGCGGGATCCAGAGACGCTTCCTCTCTGAGTCCTCACTGTGCCTGACTCTGGCGTTGCAGGTGAGAATGGCGAGGGTGACGGTAGGGATGGGGATGAGGGCGCTGAAGCTCTCAGGGACCGGGCAGAGGTTCCTTCCCATGGACAGAGCAGTTCGTGAGAGCGGGAGCTCTGTTCACCTTGTGCAGCTCGTGCCTGGGGCATCTGGTGAGGACGGTTTTCCCTGCCTCTCTTAGCACTTCTGCTCTCTCATACAACTTCCGTTTCCTCCTGAAATTCTCCCCCCAGCAACAGGAATGATGGTGATTATAATAATGACTGTCATTCACTGAGCACCTACTCCATACTAGGCACTGATGTAAATGCTTTTTAAACATATAATAACTCACAATACCCCCTGTAGTATGCTCTCTACAAATAAGCTGCCAGAGACTCAGAAAGGTGAAGTAACTTTCCCAAGGTCACACAGGTAGTGCAGGGGAGCTGAGATTTGAACTCATGCAACAGTGGAAAGAAATGAAGGCCAACAGAGAACAAACAGAGGCTGTTTCTTGACAGCTTGCTTACAGCCAGGGTGTAGGCACCATCCCTCGGTGGGGCCGAGTCCAAAGGCCGTCAGGAGCCTGGGAAAGCGTCTGAGAGCGGCATCGGTGGTGAAGCTGTAGGAGAACTAACTAGATTCAGAGCATCTCATGTGATTGGACTGGGGAGCATATTTGGATTTCTCTGGTTGGTCCTGAGTTGGAAGTGGGGGCAAAACAGGCAAGCTGGCAGTTATTGACCAAGTCCTGCCCATCGTGCGCCCGCTGCTGGCGAGGCTGTGCTCTGGTCGCCTGGGACAGGTGCTGCGAAGGTGATGGGTCAGAATTCTGCCTTCATCTGTGGTCCATTTGCATTTTCAGTCTCACAGTCTCCACCTCTGTTCTTTGACCCTAATCTCCACCCCAACCCCCAATTCCTGAAATTTCCCAGATTAATTATCCCATGCCTGCATTCCACCTTATTTTATAGACGTGCCGCACAGACATAATTGCTGGTGGGAGAGATTGACACCTCCTCTCTGGTAGTATATAAATTCCAAAAATGTTGCTTAGAAGTCACACCATATTGTATATGCTTCAAGGCACCTTGTTAGTTAAAGAATTTCGTTTTTGTGAATAAAGACGTATTTTGTGAGGGGAGCCATCATTTCTTTATTACTCCAGTTGGAGAGCTCAGGACTCTTACCCAAGGCATAGTTTGCTTTATTGCATTTGCAGGTGGCCCGAGGTTTGGCCCGTGTCTTGGAATCCTTGTTATAGGTGTCAGTATCTTGACTCGGGGACTCGGATAGTAAGACCCACTGGAAATCCTTTCCCAAGATCTGCTATGTGACCAGAATGGAGGTGGAAATGTGCACGTATCACACGGAAGACGCTGTGTGGGTTTGCCTGCTAAAATGCCCCTGTTGTGAAGCGCTATGCCCAGAGGCCAAGTTCAATAGCAATTTATTCAACCCACTCCCCAGCTAAAGTCCCCAAGTTCTCACCTTGCCACTCTGGGGGAAACTGTTCTGGTAAATTAATTCACGCTGAGATGCTGGTGAATTAATGTGGCATTAGAAAAAAATGATGCCTTCAAAAGGTAATGCTTATCCAAGGAATGAGTCTCTAACAGTGGAATTTGAGGCAATTAGTGTCCAATTGATGTCAAGGCTATTTTTAGACAAGTAGATGTGGCTTTTCTCTAGAGGGAAGTAAGTGCCTGTAAGGAATTATTCCAAGGCCCAGCGGAGACCCCATGAATTGGGAAATTCTTTGGTCTGGAAGCAAAGCAGGTTCTCGGAGTTCCACTGGGTTTGCCCAACTGGATGGCCCCGTGGCTTCCACTAACCCTTCGTGCAAAGAAGACGAGAAGAGAACGAGCTCAAGAGAACACAAGCAGAGGGCAGAGCTCAAGGGCTTTCCAGTCGTCCTTGCAGGAGGCAACTGGGAGCTGTTTCACTAGTGGTGTGGTCTGGGCTGTAATAAGCTTGGAAGTTTTGAATCTTCCTTTCATCTCTTTATCACTTAGATCTCACACTGCTTGCTTGGCAGTAAAGCTCTAAAAATGGAAAGGGCTCATCTTTGGGGACTTCATGGGCAGGGGAGTTGGCAGGGAGGCTCTTGCAGTTGATCAGGCTTGGAGGGAGGTCTCAGGGCTGAGAAAGAGTGATGGCAGTCTTCGAGAAGAGGAAAGGGGGCTGAGTTCCAGAGATGGGTGCCTTTGAAGGGTCAGACAGTTGGAAAGTCCTAGCACCTACTGCTGGGTGACGCCCCCTGATACATCATCCTCAGCTTAGAGGCCTCCCTTGAAGAGGACACTGGCAGATTCGAACATGCACTGGGCCTGATCATGGCATCTGAGGATGGTAAAGATTCGGATCTGTTGGCTATGACTTTGCCTTTGACCCACCCCCAAACCACGGCAGGGCTGCTCGTGAGATGTGGATGCGGGTGGATGCAGCTCCTCCCTGTTGCCTCCCTCTCGTGGGGGCAGGCATCAGGTTCCATGGTCCTAATGGTCCCTGAGGAGCCAGATCAGAGGGGCCAGGGCCCACGGGCTCTGCCTTTTACCCCCCAGTCACATCAGCACCTGGGTACACTATCCCCACACTGAGTCAGTCATCCCGCTGCTCTGCAGTCCCTGGAGTTCTCTCTGTGCTGGTTCCTGGCCAGTTTGACCTCATCTGCCCTCCTTTACAGTCCCAGAGCACATCATTCATGCCGCTTGGGGCTGTATTAATTTCCTGAGATTATGATAAAAATGTACCTCAAACCTAGTTGCTTAAAACAATAGAAACATTCTCTCCCACTTCTGGAGGCGAGAAATCTGAAGTCAGCATCACTGGGCCTTAATCAAGGTGTCAGCACAGCCACACTCCCTCTGGAGACTCTAAGGGAGAATCCGTCCCCTGTCACTTCCAGCTTCTGGTGGCTGCCAGCCCTCCTTGGCTGTGGCCTCATCTCTCCAACCTTCAAGGCCAGCATTTTCTAGTCTCTCTCTGCCCGACTTCACATGGCGTCCTTTTCAGTCTATGTGCCAAATCTCTCTTTGCCTCCCCCTTGTGATCGCATTAAGGCCTGCCTTGGGGGAGGGCATTTTCCAGCCTAGCCCTGGGGCTACGACCCACACAGCCTGGATCTGAAAACCCTGCTGTGAGAACAGTCAAAAGTTCCAGGAACATTTCACTTTTATTTTATATATATCTCCGTATCTGACCTGTGGAATTCAATATGCTCTTTGGCATGAATTAATCAGGGAATACAATTTTATTTATTTACGCCCAGTTATCCAGTCATCTACAGGGCATGTATAACACATTTATGTATATAAATCGTAAATATTTATAGAGCAAAAACTTACACATGTGCCCCCTAGGCCAAGAAATTGAACACTGCCGCTTCACTCTTCCTCCCTGCCCCCAGAGGTAACATTATCTTGGCTTTTAAGGTAAACATGTCCTCTTTTTTTCCTTTATCGTTTCATCCCCATCCTGGGTGTGCCTCCAGTTAGCCTGGATTACAGGATTATCAGGCGGCAGATATTCTCTGTGTCTCACTCTGGCCTCGATGTTAGGTTTTTCCGATTTCTCTGAGCTGCTGAGTGTGGATGTGATTTGCTCATCTTCGTCACCACCTAGCGATCCACTGATGAGCACTTTGGGCCCAGAGAAGAGAGGTCTGCTGGCTGTTGCCAGGGACTGGGGAGAGGAGACAGCAGAGGCGCTGAGGTTGGCCAAAGTATTGGCACTTAAACCATCAGCTCTGTTGGGCAGAGCTGGGGCCGGCTGATTAAGGACTGGCCATTGCTGTCCTAAGAGAGGAAGAGCTGCTGCCCCTAGTTGCCATGGGACCAAGCGTAGGCTCAGTGGCCCCTGGGACAGAGAAGCCACAGTGAAGGAGCTTGGTTTAACGCGAAGCTACGGCTGAGCCTCTGACCGCGGCCAACTCCAGGAGCCCCAGCTGTGCCTCTAAGATGCCACAGAGGCAAAGTGCCTGAGCAGCTGCTCCAGGGAGGCTGGCTTTGGACCCCACACCTCTCTTCCCTGTCTTCCAGCAGCCCTTTCCCAGACTCCTTCCCCACAAACCCGCCCCCGCTTCTCAGCAATGCCTAAAAGTCTTCCATTCAATCCTTGCCCTTCCAGTCTAAGGCTCTGGCCCTGACTGGCCTCAGACTGTTCTCAGCCACAGAAACCAGTGAGGGAGTAGGTGCGGGACCCTTTCCCAAGGATGGCCTTTGAGAGGGGGTGGGGAAGAGGAGGAAACGGAACAGAGAGGGAGTGAGGGGCAGCCAAAGGCTGCTCTCTCCCAACATCACCTCCTCAGCCCTGAGCTCCTCTGGGGAGATGAACAGGGCGAACCTTGGGCCCCTTCGACACCCCTGCCCTTCTGAGCCAGAGGCCAGGGGGCCTGAATCGGAGGCTGACCATTTCTCCAACAGCGGCCCCTCAATGTGGGAGCCCTCGTACGAGTCAACTGAGGTGTCTTGAAAGGGCCTGGGGCAGCAGGAAAGGTGTGGCCGGTACATCATGGAGGGGTGAAGGGCCAATGAGGGGGTTCCCTTTTGGGTGTGGGCCTTTTACCCTGAGGAGAGGAGGTCTATCCAGGAGTAATGGGGGTTTAGCCTGTAATGAAGGGTGAGGGGGCAAACGTAATCCAGTCTTCAGTCTTCTAGAAGAAAACCTTATTTCTCTCTCCCTCTTTCCAAACACCTGCCCCACCATAAACTCTCCATAAAATGGAGATACTTGGCTACATTCAAAGGGTGAAAATTAAAGAGAAATACAAAGCGAAGACTTCTAAAGTTCCTTTGATCTGTAAAATTATTCACCTGGCAAGAGTAAGGAATCAATGAGTTGAAAGATTATAGGAGAGAATCTCATTATGTGATATGAGCTTGACCAGGGAATTTGTGAGTGCCGCCTTCCAGTTTTCACATGACCAGAGGGATAGATGGCTTAAATCAGAGCAGGAAGGATTTAGGGCAGACTTCTGGGAGAGCGTTTTTGCATCTAATAATCATAAAGTGCATATAAGCAAGTTATCAAAAGGGATTAGGCCTCTGTTCCACCGCTGCCTTGAAGACCAGCCACAGTTCGTTCTTGGTTTGCAGCATGTGCAGTCCCAGCCCCCACTGGCTGTGGCTTCTGCTTTAAAAATATGTCTTGTACTCAAGGAAGCGTAACACTTGCCACACAGTGTCATATCTTCAGTGATACCTGCGTTAGCCCCAGGGGCTTAGCAGCAGCAGCATTTGGAATCAGTCAGCAGTCAGGCAATGTCAGCATTGAAGGTTGTATTATGCATGCAGCACTGTGGGAAGAGCAGTAAGAAATAAAGATAGAGCATCTCTGAGCTGACGAGGTCATTCGGTAGAAAAATAGTAACAGCAACAAAACCACCGTTACCTTCAATTTACCTGCCATTTTAAAGTTATTAGTAGCAGTCCCCGAGCGAGGGTCACTGCATTCAGGTGTGCATATTGTGTATAGAAAAGTGTGAACAGCACTATCTAGAGTTGTGCAGTGCACAACCTGCCCCACCATTCATAGCAGCCATGCCACTCAGAGAGTCTCAATTAAAGCTTTACAGGTGTGGAATTCTTTTTACATTTTAAGTTGATTTCACATCCATTTGGCCCTTGTGACAGTTTTATGAGATGGCAGGGCTAGTGTCATTTCCCCCAGACGACAGATGAGGAAACCAAGTTCCCGAGAGTTGCTGGGACTATTCTACGTTAGCAGAATGAGATTAGGACCCAAAACTGGTGGCTCTTGATTCAGGACCATTTCTACCAGCCAAACTCACTTAACCCAGTTGTCTAGGGACACATCTGGGATGCAAGAGACAGGCTATTGGGGAGTCACTGGGAGCTGAGATGGACTCAGTAAAAGCCTCCTCTCCTCGAATCTGGTCTCCAGCCTGGCCTCACCCACCCCGCTCCAATGACCAGCTTCCCTTCTTCATGCCCTGCCTCTCCACCCCCAGATTTGAGCGGGAGCAGAATGACACGTTCATCATGGAAATCCTGGACATTGCTCCATTCACCAAGATGCGGATCCGAATTGACGGCCTGGGCAGCCGGCCCGAGTGGTTCCTGGAGAGGGTAATGTGGCTGGGCCCTCGCCCTCCCTTCCACCCACTGCCCGCCCCTTATTCCTGTTCATCTGGGTTGTCAGTGGACTTTGTTACAGTGCAGATGTCACCTTAGAGGGTTATTGCTCATACCTGGCCCACAGAATCCCATATGCCCTTCATGTGAATTAATCAGGGAACACAGTTTTATTTATTTGCCTCCAGTCAAAATTGAGTAACTGCCAGGGAATACAGTGTGCCCTGCTAGTGTAGTGTGGGCAGAGACCAGGTGGGCTTCCTGGAGGAATCGAGTCTGCGGGAGCGGTGGTAACTCCTGTGCTGAGGTTCAGTGCCGCTGTGACCACGGGTGGCTGCCTCTTTCTCCATCTTGAGTCATCGTCTCATCCCTTGTCCACCAAAATCCATCTGTCCTGAGTCCCCTCAGGCTCCTACGCTCCTGTTCAGCCTTGACCAGATTTTTCTTGAGCCAACAGTATGGTCCTCCCGCCAAGGACAATCTGGCAGACTTCAGTACACTGTTCCCAGGGGTCTGTGGCTGATAGTGTTTTGGTTGGTCTGTTTTTCGGTCATTCGTTCGGCAAACATTTCTTGTGCACAGTGATAGGCACCTCTCAGAAACATATGTAGAAGAATTGCTTGTTTCCAAATTGCCAAACTAGTCACAGTAGGGACTTTAGACCCTGTGACAGGCCCGTGGGGCAGGGTCTTTGTCCTGGAGAGGGCCCTGTCCTCGTGCCTCAGGTCTAAGTTGGAAGAACTTGTCTCGGGGCTAGGATTGTGGGTCCCTGGGGTTCGGACTAGGGAATTGCATTAGTGGGTGGGCAGCCGGTAGAGGTGAGGGAGGGCATTCCTGCACTGGCCCCTTTCACCCAGATCCTCCTGAAGAACATGAACACTGGAGAGCTGACCATGTTCTACTATGGAGACTGGCTGTCCCAGCGGAAGGGCAAGAAGACCCTGGTGTGTGAGATGTGCGCCGTCATCGACGGGGAGGAGATGATGGAGTGGACCTCCTACACCGTCTCAGTGAAGACCAGTAACATCCTGGGTGAGTCAGGGAGGTCCTTCCCTTCTCCTGTGCCCGCCTCCCACTAACCCCGCTCCTCCTCAAATTCTGGCTCAGGCCCCGAGCTCTGGTCAAGGTATTGCTCTCTGGATGGCCTTCCAAAAGTTAGTCAATTCAGCTCCTTTCCACAGCGTGTCACCTTCTACCTGGACCAAGTGTCCTCCCAGTGACTTGGCTCTGTCCTTCCAGCATCAGGGAATTGGGGAGAACGTCACTGAGCAGTATGGTCAGCGCTTTTGAAAATGGTGCAGGAGCTTGGCTCAGTGGCCCTCTGTCCTCCTGATGCCCCTCACCCAGGTACCGGACATCTCGGATGCCCTTGGATTCCTTCCCACATCCCTGCACTTGGCCACCATCTCCTGTGGGCCAGCTTTGGCCTGGGCTCTTAGGGTAGAGATAAGTTCCTGAGCCTGTGTGTGTCTGACATCCGAGTGGAGCAATGACAGTGAGGCTCTGACAGGGGTCGGCACGGGTGCTAGGGAACCCAGAGGAGGGCGCCTTACCGGGCTGGAGATCAGGGGCAAGGGTCATGGAGGGCTTCCCGGAGGTGGTGCCAAAGTCCAGCCCAGAAGGACGAACAGAAGCCAGTGAAGCATATGGGACAGCAGAGGAAGGGCCTTCTAAGCAAACGTCCTAGCAACACAAAGACCTGCAGCTCAGAGGGAAGCAGTGCCTCCCTCCTCCCCTCCCCTACACCAAGCCTGTTCTCCAGGAGCTGTTACGAGTCTGACAAACTCGCTCACACTACTTATTAATGGCTGGGGAAGGAGTACCGTGATGGCTCTGGGAGCTTACATTTTCGACAGAGAAGCATTCAGCCAAAGAGATGAAGCTCTCATGGTAGCACCTCATGCATGGGGTCAGTACAGCTGCCAAAGTTTCTTTTCAGCCCCTCTCATTTTCCTTTTCTCCTCAGAGTGAAGCCTTCACTCTCTTTGCTTAAAGTTTCAAGTGTTCACATGTTTTCAAGTCCCTCATCCCTTCATGATGCCCTCTCAGGAAATAATAAGTTCATTGATAACCACAGGGCGTGTGTATCAGCAAAGCTTCAAGGGGTCACCTCTCCCAGAAGCCTTTTCTTTTCACTGGGGTCAATACCTCTGTTCTGCTTAAGCACATCGTGTGAAGGTCCTGTGTAGAATGTCAACCAGAGGCAGATTTGGGAACAAGGGGCTTTCACATTGTGCAGGAGGGGGTTTATTTCTAAACTGTAAAGCCAGTCTACACGGCACACCTGTAGGTATTTCCCAGAACTAGGTAAATCCTTGTACCAAACCACTCACACTCGCTAACCAGGACTCCAGTCAGCCCGACAGCATTTACAAGGCACAGAGATAAGAGAGAGAATAGAATTGGAGACACTGACCCGCCCTTTCCCGCCTCACCCCGGCCTCGTTCACTCTGAAGTTGCCCGTGTGCACCCCTGGCTCCTCCCAGGGTCCCGGAGTGAGGCCAGAGCAAGAGGGCTGTGATTCAGAGCGGGCGGCACCCAGAGCCCTTGCCTTGTGCTCTCCCAGGAGCAGGCACAGATGCCAACGTGTTCATCATCATCTTTGGGGAGAACGGGGACAGCGGGACCCTGGCCCTGAAGCAGTCGGCCAACTGGAACAAGTTTGAGCGGAACAACACCGACACATTCAACTTCCCCGACATGCTGAGCCTGGGCCACCTCTGCAAGCTGCGGGTCTGGCATGACAGCAAAGGTAGCTCGGGCTCAAGGTCAAGTCAGGGCCTGGGTGGGAGGGCAGGCCCCAGTTCTCCTCCTGAGCCCCTCCCCATCTCCCAGCGTGGCAGGGAATCTAAACAGTTGATTATCACCATTTTGATGCTTTCATCAGTTAGAAAAGCCAATGTTTCTGGACAAATTTTAGTTCCTCCTGCTCCCTACCCACCACCTCGGGGTAATGAGTGGCTCTTAATTTTCTGTGATGTCGGGTCATTAATTCTTCTTAGTTCAGACATAAAAATTAGGGGGAAGAAAGATTATATCACCAAATTCACTTCCTATGGATTTTCTATAAAAGATTACGCTTGTTGGTTTATAATAACAAGTTTAAAATTAGTCCAATTCACTTATGGATATAAATGATGGGATAGGACATAAGCCAAATGAGAAATTTATTTTAAACTTCAAAATATCTAAGGAATGCTTTGTCGCACCTGTAACTGTGATGAAGTTCATGTTCAGAGTTTCTCTCATTGTCCTTTTGTTGTCTTCAGGCCACTCTGACCATTTTTTTCTGGCTTTGGGCCTTTAAGTTATATGTTATGTGATTAGAGAAGAGTTGTTAAATACTAAATTTCTTCTCCTTGACACACATTAGTTTCTTAATTTATGCTGTTCTAACTCACCCTCTTGTCTTCCATTGAAACGAACTTTGACAAAGCTATTTGCTCGAAGGCTTCTCCAGTCTTTTCTGAGTCCAGCACAAGTGGCCCAGAGGTGTCCTGAGTACTGTGTTTGTCCTTACTTCTTCCACATCCTCACAGGGGACCAATATATCTGCCACGGTGACTGATGGAGCCTGACTTGGTGGCTTTAGCATGGGTTAAACGGCTGAGTTTTTCCTCACATCATGGGATCAGCTCTGATTAAGCACAGAGAAAGTACTCAGTCTTCAAAGTAAGGCCATAATGAAGATTCACATAGCCCTCAGTTTTCAAATCTCAGTGCACCCATTCAGTTATTCATAAAGCAAACATTTACAGCAGTCACCTAGTGCTCTGTTAAGTATTAAAGACACATTCAATCCTTACAACAACCTTGTGAATTACTACCACAAAAGCACTTTATTGTCTCTCTTTTCTACAACCAAGGAGTATTGCAGCCCTGTGAGGTTTGACTGTCTTACTCAGACCACAAGAGGGAGACACAGAAAGATAGGGACACAGCCAACTCTCAGATCTGGGTCTTCTGGTGCCAGATCTGATGCCCATTCTGGTACACTATGCTGGGTGCCAGCCCATCCTGCCAGTCCCATTTTGCACCCTCACCCAGTCACTGTGCCAACTGGTCAAAAAAAGAAGGCAAGGCAATGAGGGCAGCTTTTTCTATCTCTGTCCACTCTGTCCCTCATAGATGTTTATTACCAGAGTGTAAGGGGAGGGTGTCTTATCCAGAAAAGGGTGCAGTGGAAGGAGATGCTTCTTCCTCACCTGTCCATTCAGGTGTCATGGTAAGTCTATGAAAAGAAACGTGCTTGCAAAACATTCTCAAAATATCCCTAATGAATCTCTTCTCTTTCCCAAGAAGGAAACAAAACAAAGACCCTTGAATTCTTTCTCTCTCTCTTGTAATCCGTTATGGTTGTTTTAGAACTAGTAGCAGCTTGGCTGGTAGTTGAAAGTCTGGCTTAGTAATAGGAATTAGATTTATTAAGATCATCTTCTGCCCTAGAAAGTTCATAAGATCAGGATGAGCCGCTGCCCATGACACTAAACAAGTAGATCACTACATCCAGACAATCACTTCAGTGTTGGATCAGGCTGCCAGTGGCTCAGAAAATCACTGAGCCCCATTGTGTGTGTCACTAGAAGCCTAATTAGAAGGATTTGACAGAACAGATTGATAAGGGTGGGTGCAGATGGGGTCTGTCTACGTGAACATCCATGCGTACCGTTTCCTGTTTTAATGTCCTCATCAGAGGCAAACCATTGTTTAGGAAGTGTATTCCCAAGAAATGTGCCTTTGCCTTTATCAGAAGGAAGCATATTTTACCTCTGGGCTTCCAACTCTCTGCTGGGCTACTGACATACAAAGTATAACTCTTGAGGGCAGGGGCCATGCCTCATTCATATTTATCTTCATAACTGCCTGCTAAAGAGCTTCTGGCACAGTGGAAACTTGCTAAATCTTAACCTAGTTGAGACTCTACTCCCTTACCCCCAAGAGAGAGCTGAGAGATACCAGGTCTTTAATTCTGTTCTTCCACAGCCCGTACCTCAGAAGCAACAGAGAAGCAAAGGGACTAGAACAATGGGAAGGAAGAAATATTATTCCCAGCCAGTATGAACAATCCCCTCAGGGTTCAACCACATTGATGGGATCAGAGGTCCCTGATCACCTCCTGGCCAGGCCAGAAAATTAGGTAGGGAGGAACTTCATGTAGATCCTGATGACTACCCTCCCTTTTCCAAGAAAGGAGGACAATGTCAGGGTCATTTCTAATATGAATGTTTCACTCACGAGGCTGGTGAGGGTGGAGGGGATGGCCAGGAAGACTGAGGATGCCTGTGTTAAAGACCCCAGTTGTGCAGAAACACTGAACAGTCTTTGGAGCCATGTAGCTGTCCACGGTACTGATTTCTCTGATTTTTCTCAACTCTGGACGCTGCTGCCTGTTTCCAGGGTTCACACCTTGGGACCTGTCTGTTTTCAGGTCTGTTATAGACCCCTGGAGCTTGGTAAGATGGTACAAATTACCATACAGCCCACCCTCAGTTCATGGCAATAAAAAGAGAGAATTGCTGATCCGAGATCAGAGCTCATCTCTGTCTTCTGCCTTCAGAGGCTGCTATCTCCAGCTCCATCTTATCCAACTCCACCTGACTAAACATTTGAAATTTTACTGGTTCTTTGACCCTTGGATGACTTCTTCTGTTGCTGCCATACCTTAACTGTCTGCCTTCTCCTTCCATCCCAGACTTTTTCTCATCACAAACTTAGAAAGTCCTCTTGGGGATTCCTGCTCCATGTTGTACACCTCCTTCCAAACTGTCTAGGAAAGCAAAGGCTCACATACTTGAGAAAAATGTTCCTGAAAGTCAAGCAGTAACATTTCAGAAGTCAAAGTTAATGTTTGTCTTTAGTGATGTCTATGTTTCCCCTTTTCTTTTTTTTCTCCTCCTGTCTGACATGTCCTCTCCCCAGACAACATGAGCCATTCAGCTCCTCTACTCCTGCAGTCCTAACAGTCCCTAATTTTTGTATTGATTTCAGTCAATAAATCAAATGAGTTGATTCTCATTATTCTCAGGAGTTATGGTCTATAAAGTTGCTGCAAACACTGAACCATTGCTCCTGGGGAAAACACAAAGTTAGGTTCCTGCGAGCTTCTGGTCACAGCATTTTCATCAGCCAATCAATACATAGCCTTCTTTTATGTGTGTTCCTGTTTAAAGACATTTCATCTAATATATATTGTTGATTTATTAACAGTGAATTCATAGCCAACAACACTATAGCTCATGCCTAGAGGAAGGTTATGTAACAAATCTATGTTCTCTGTAAGGCACATCACAGCCTTTTGCACTTAGAAACACTAGACAGCTCTTCAACACTATGCTTGGGGGGCATTTTTAGCAGCAAAATCACACACACACACACACACACACACACAAAGCACTAAATAGACCACAAAAGTGACCCTTGTCTATAGTGTGAGAACTGAAACGAGAAACATCGTCTTGTTTAACCTCCGCTGGCAACATGTGCATCAGGAAGCTCAAATTTTTGCCACTCTCCACGTGTCCATGAATGACTGGGAAAGCACTGTGAGTATTGGTTTTAGGGTTACAAATAAATTTTAGCAAGTAGGTGAATTTGCAGATATGAATATACAAATAATGAGGTTTAACTGTATCTGTCTTTGAAGAAATGATATTTAAACTAAAGTCTGAGGAAGAAGACATTAATAAGACCTAAAGGATAGATATAAAATGGTGTGTGGTGTTAGCTAAAAATGGAGAAGAATTTTTGAGGCAGAGTGAATGGCAAATATAAAAGCCCCAAAATAGAAATATTGATATGTGCCAGAAACGAAAGAAGAATTCCAAATGACTGCGGAATAGGGGTGGGGTGGGAGCTAGAAAGTAGACAGGAACTAGGCCTGCAAGAGATCATAAGCCATGTAAATGATTGGGGCTTTATCCCAGGTGTCCTGAGAAGCCATCGGAGGATCCAGGAACGGTAGTCACATGGGAAAGATTATTGTAGTGTCTGTGGGGGATAGGTTAGATGGAAAGAAAACAAATTTCAAAAGACTGGCTAGAGATAATGGAAGATACTGATGCCTTGTACAATGATGGTAGCAGTGGGGAATGGAGAAAATACGGAAAGATTCTAGAAAATTATAAGGCAGAGGACTTATTAATGTCCTATAAGAAGAAAACTTGTAGAATAAGAGTGACTGAGAGCAGATTCCTGAGAATTCCAGCATTTGAGATTAGGTAATAGAAAGGAATAAAAAGGAGGAAGAGGAAAAGGGGAGGAAAATGAGTTGCCTCAACATTATTTATTTCCAAAAGGGAATGTGTCTGGGGAGATGGACCCTGTCTGGAACTACATAACGTTGAGGATTGTTCACTTGCCATGAAATCCCAAGATGTGGTGTGTTGGTTCCTGATGCCATAGTTTCCTGAGCGAAAATTTAATAAAGGAAATATGAAACCACATTTGTTTTCAAATAGCAAAGCAATTTAAACTATTTAAAATGTTTATTTCTCCCTAGCAAATTCCCAGAATCCCTTGATGAGAAATTTGTTATGCAGCCAAACATTTAAGTCACTGTAACAGGGGGAAAGAAAACCTCCTGTCATTTATGGATTCATGTTTACAAGGCAGAAATGTTCTTGACTCCTAAGTACTCCCCGCCTGCCCCCCACACCTCGCCAACACACAAAATGCCAAAGAACCTTTCTCACCTAGCCTCACCCTCTCTGTTCACTGGTCCTTTTTATAAGGTGGAATTACCTTTTTATTCTT